GGGGTCCGGAGCCTCCCCCACCGGACAGCGCGGGCACCGGCCGTGCGTGCCGTGGTAGCTCCAGGCCCGGGGACCCTCAAGTGGGGAGAACAGTTAACCTTCGGGGACCGGGATGACGGAGACACAGAGATTCTGTAGTGTCCTTCCTGCCCTACGTCTGGGATGAGTCAGGATAAAAGTTAACGAGAAAAATTGCCAGTAGAGTCACCGCAAGGAGATGCCTGTTTCATGGTGGCTTCGTTAGGTGGGCCGAGGGTCTCCGGCCGGGCGCTGCTGAACGTCAGCTTAAGCGACGCCCAATCCTGTAGAGAATTTCTATGGGTTCGTTTGAGGCAGACTGACAATTGCCAGGAGGCAAAAATCTCAACGGATTGAGAAAACGTTTAGGAGAATGGCAGTTTTTCAGCTTATTTTATACATTTAGCGTCAAAGACATGAGGGGGGAGTTATGTGAGCTTCATTGGTGGTAGGTGACGGAGGCAGAAGGCAAAGCAGGAAACTCCGAAATTGTATCGGAAGGCACAGTGGATTTAATTTGCATTTCTCTGATGAATAGCGACCTTGAACATCTTTTCATGTCTGTTAACCAAATAGATTTCCTCTTTGGAGAAGTATCTGTTCAGGTCTTCTGCCCATTTTTTAATTGGCTTGTTTTTTTTGTAGTCGAGTTGTATAAGTTCCTGATGTATTGTGGGAATTAACCCCTTATCAGATGTATCATTAGCGAATATCTTCTCACAAACAGTAGGTTGTCTTTTTGTTTTGTTGATGGTTTCCTTTGCTGTACAAAAACTTTTTTATTTTGATGTAGTCCCATTTATTTTTTTTCTTTTGTTTCCCTTGCCTGAGGAGATACAGCTGAAAAGAAATTCCTGTTAGGAATATCGGAGAGTTTACTGCCTATGCTTTCTTCTAAAAGTTTTATGGTTTTGAGTCTTATGTTTAAGTCTGCAATCCACTTTGAGTCTCTTCTTGTACATGGTGTAAGAAGGTGGTCCAGCTTCTTTTTTTGCATGTACCTGTCCAATTTTCCAACACCATTTATTGAAGAGACTGTATTTACCCCATTATATATTCTTACCTCCTTTGTCTTCACAATGAGACAGCACCTCACACCTGTCAGAATACCTATCATCAATAACTCAAAAAACAGCAAGTGTTGGCGAGGATGCGGAGAGAAGGGAACCCTCGTGCATTGTTGGTGGGGTTGCAAATTGGTACGGCCACTATAGAAAACAGTAGGCAGCGTCCTCAAAAAATTAAAAATGGATATATCTTTTGACCCAGCAATTGCACTTCTGGGTATTTGTCCAAAGAAAACCAAAACAATAATTTGTAAAGATCTGTGCACTCCAGTATTCACGGCAGCACAGTTTGCAGTAGCCAAGATATGGAAGCGACCTAAATGCCCATCAACAGACGATCGGATAAAGAAATTGTGGTTCATATATACAATGGAATATTAACTCAGTCATAAAAAAATGAAATCCTACCATTCGCAATGACATGGATGGACCTAGAGGTTATTATGCTGAGTGAAATAAGTCAGTCAGAGAAAGATAAATACCATATGATTTCACTTATATGCAGGATCTAAGGAACAAAAAACTAACGAAAAACAGACTCAAATATAGTGGACAATTAGGTGATGGACAGAGGGGAGGGTGGTTGGGGGGCTGGGAGAATGGGGTGAAGGGTTAAAGAAGTATAATTCAGTAGTTGATAGATGGTCACGGGGATGGGGAGCACGGCAGAGGGAATGCAGTCAGCATTAATATGGCTGGGCGAAGGGCCAGGGGAGGGGGGTGCAATTTGGGGGATCGTTTTATGAACATTATAGATTTCTAACCAATGTCCTGTATACTTGAAACTAAATGAATTTATTTTTTAAAAAAAGGCACAATGGAGAGACATGTACTTTTTTACACTGGTGGGTGCAGGATAATATTTACAGCACAGAAATGGTATTTGGGGAACAAGGTAACCAACCGGGAGGGATTCTGTGGTCCCCATGGGAGGTGCGCCCTGAGGGGTCTGGAGAAGGAGCTTACTCTCACATTTCGGAGGTACTATCCTAGATGCACGAAGACAATGGACAGGTTCACTTAAAGGCTGACCTTTGTCAAGGAAGCCACAGGCCTAGGATGTGACTACCTGCCTCGACCCGCTTTGGTGTGTTCAGGCCGCCTATGCGTTTACATTCGGTCTCTGAGGTTGTAGGGCCCGCCAGGTGGCCTCCGCTGAGCTTGTCAGGTTTCTTATGTGGCCCTTTTCTGGCCACATGACTAAATGCATTCTTGCTGAATGCTGAAGTGTGGCACAGGATTTTGCAGGGGCAGCATGAACTTGACCCAGAGATGTGGCCAGCTGCGAAGAAGAAATTGATGCGTAATTAACCAAGTAGTGCATAAGCAGCTGGGAGACGGAGCTTGGGATGTGAGTCCCCGTGTCCTTTACTTGCTTCAAGTCAATAAAAATTCCTAAAGACGACCCTGTCTCCTTCAGCGGAGCACCCCGAGCACCGAAACGCTCCAGTTCTGGAACAGTTTCTGTTGTTTTTTCAACATAAACTCCGTGGGGCGGGGGCGGTATTGAAGAAAGTACAGATTACTGGAATAGAATGACCAGGGCCCCTCAGCGCCACTAAAGGAGCCAGTGCCAGTGAGGGGCCTCCCGACCGCTATCTCTAGCCAACCCCCGCCCACTGCAGGGAGAAGCGGGCAGGGGCCCAGGGAGGACTGGAACTTGTCCCTGTTTTCCAGAGCTTGGTGGCACTGGATGTTCTTCCCGGTTAGCCCAGGGGTGGCATGAGCTCTCCGGTCTCATCAAAGCGCTCAGGGCTGCCTGCCCGTGGTCCATTCTCTGGATGGCCTTCTCTTGTCCTCTGTCTGTCTGTGACACACACTAAAAACACCATAAGGCATTTATAGAAATGGTAGGTGCTGGTAAAGCCCCGATAAATTGCCGAGGGTTTTCAGAGGAGGGGCAGTTCCTTCAGGGTGGGAGCCCAGGGAGGAACGCACCGAGCGGTGGCTCCGAGCAGGTGGGAGAGGGATTTGTTGACGACGAGAGGGATGTGGACCCCCCCCCCCCCCCCCAAAAGGCAAGGCACTGGAGCCGAGCACAGTGGCTGCTCTGGGCCACCCAGCCTGGGAATCTGGGCCAGAAACTCTGGGGCCCTCAGACTTGCCCCGTCTCTCACTCCATCATCTGCTCGGTTACTCTCCCGTGTAGAGTCTGCTCATGGCTCTGTTGGGGTCAGGGTCGGCCCTTGGCACGGTGTGTAGACCCCGGTCTCTGCCCTTCACCGTGCAGTCACTGCTCAGCACATCTGTCCCGTCCGAAGCCCTTTACTGACTCTTGTTACGCTGAGTGTAAAATCCATCCTGCTTGGCAGGCCTACCAGCCCTTTGCAAGGTGGCCCTGCTTGAGTCGCATGCCCATCTTCTGTCCCCAAGCTGTCTTCATGCCCTGTGCTCCTGCCACACGTCCCCTTCAGGACCAGGCTGCTCCACGCCGTGTGGCTTTGCCCTCACCGGCCTAGCCTGGGCCACGCAGGGAGGGCTGCTGCGAGGAACAAGGACCGGCCGCTTCTGCTTCGGCAGAGCGGGCACTGGCAGGACTCCCAGGTTGGGGGGCTCGTGGCACCCGAAGGCCGGGGTGCAGCCTCAAGGATGGGCTGCAAAGTCCCGGAGCTCTGGGGTGCAGCTTCGTACCCCTCTCCTCTCTCTCAGACTGAGTTCTGATCCATGTTGAATTCTGTCCCAGACACAGATATTTATAGGCGAGCGGGGACAAGAAGTGTCAACAAAGCCGGGTGTCCGGCTACTCCTGCCTCCGGAACTATAAGAAGGCCGTGCGTGGCTTTCTAGAAGGTCAGCTACAAGTCTCTGTGACATTTGGGGACTTGGGACCAACACATCTTCGAGATCCGAGGTCACTCACAAGGCCTGCTTGACAAAGCGAGGGCAGTCAGATGCGGTCCTGCCTGCACGCAGCGCAGCTCGCTGCAAACGTCCCAGTGATGAAGGATGCTGGGGACGCTCCCGGTGTGGGCTACGCGAAACATCTGCGCGAGCATGGGAGTGCAGGTCTGTCGCCGTCATGTCTGTGCGCTTCTCTTTCTTAAATACCTGGCAGCAGGATTTCTGGGTCATAAGAGAAGTGTTTAACGCAGGAAATTACCGAACAGTTCTCCAGCACAGTCGTGTTGTTTTGCATTGCTGCCTGCAAGTTCCGAGAGTCTCAGTTGCTTTAAAACCAACACGTGTATTTTCTGCCTTTTAAAGCGTGTTCCTCGTCGTAGGAGTATAGTGATTCCCCGCTGCCGTTTTAATTGGCATTTTCCTGATTCCGAATAATGTCGAGCATTTCTGTGTCTTACTGGTCGTTCATACGTCGTCTTTTACGAAGTTTCTTTCCAAATCTTTTTCCCATTTAGAAAATTGGGTTGTTAACTGTCAGATGGTTGGGTTGCGAGAGTTCACGGCATTCTCTATATTCTCATATCTTCTGAAAGTGAATATTTTGTTAGTAAACGTATTGTTAGATACGTGTACTGTG